TCTGTCTGAGAGATCTTGACCTAAACATTCGCGCTTGGAAAACCGATTTCTCTCGCGGATGGTGTTATTATTCCTGAGTCCAACAGGATATTTCTTGCAGGTGCCTTCATGACGGGGAACACTGTCTGTAGAATTCTGATAAGTCTATAATTAATTTTCTTTATTATCCAATGGGTTGCTTTTCCTCAGAAAGTTCCATAGTTACGCACTCGCACATTTGTAGAAATTAATAAAACATGCCTCAGCCGCGACATAACATCGGTAGACAAAATAATATGCCGCGGGTGTTTGTTTTATTATCAAAAAAAAAGAGCAAAAAGTGTTCAAAGAATGGTAAAAATTCGAACTAATGGGCGCCGGAAACTACAACATATAAACCTTTTTTCTACTAATTTTTTTTACGATTTCGTGTCTTGGCATATTTTGACGTGAAATTCAAACACACTGGGGCAGAAATTTTTATAAAAAACAACTGAAGTTTATTTAGTCAGCTGCTGGTTTTAATTCGCTTTTATAACTCGCTTTAGATATCACTTTCGTAAATTTCTTTTACGTCATTGGGGAGAACATCTTTCGAACGTTATGACGAAGAGATTGCTAAATTTATGTTCTGAATTGAGATGTAAATAAAACCTGAGAGACAAACTATTCGAGAGACGCCGATCAGAATGCGAACAAAAGAGCAGATTTAGCTTATTTTCTTTTATACAGTCAAAAGACTAATTTAACGCCTAAATCTTGTTTAAACAAAGTTTCCCTCGTATATTGCGTTGTGCCAACTTGTTTATTCAGTGCGGTTGAACAGCCAAGCACACAATGAGCTGCGGCACTTAGGAAACCAGTTTCTTTTGAATTACTGATGTCAACAAAATTGGTGATACAAGAACATTTCAATCAGTTGTTGACCTGTGCTACTCTTGGTGTCTTTACCAAACTGCGGAAGTCAATTACTTGGATCAAGCGAAAGATTTCGAGGGGCTGCTCGGTAAGTCACTTATTAACGAAGAGAAAACGAGTAAGACTTTTCGTCCTTGATTAAACGGTGAAAAGGAAAAGGGTGCTGCATTAGAGATCCAACCAGGTGAGGCAGCTAAATTTCCTCCGACGAAAAGTACTCTTGTTTTAAATTGCAAATTGATTGAATTTTTCTTAGGTATACACTGTCTTTCAATATTACTCGCTGGTTGTAATATATGAGGTACTAGAATCTGTGTTACTTTGCTCACCAGCAAAATTTAGGATTTTAATCTTGCCAGATAATCCTCCTATAATATTATTTCTTGATTTCCTGTGAACAGGCTAACAAAACAGTTAATATGGCTAGCAAAGAGGTCCGATTGTTCACACGAGAAATCATTGCTGACAGTCTAATAATAGACATGCTGTATGTTCTCTGTTGAGATTTTGTTAGGAGCAACATTCTGCAATGAAAAATCTACCGAATCTCTTTAATACTCATCGATTATTTGCGAAAGAATCAACGGCTACCTCGGTGCGTTCGTCCGGCCTGTCATTCAAGAAATAAGCGCCTCTGATGAATACACAACTGGATTGGAGTGCCTTTGAAAAGCAAGCGTAACTAAGACTAACAGAGCTCATTCATGAAATCTAAGTTACATTCTCTGAAAATAATCAGGAATTATCAATACCAAGGCCTAATGGATCAGTTTGATTGCCACGGGGAAGCACTTTATGCATGATACTGCAACCCTCAAAATAAGAGATATCTGTAAATGCGCGGAAAAGCGCCTCTTCAGACAGTGTCGCTATTACAGTCTTACTGTGAACAACTTTGCAATTTTGATACATTTCTTGATCATTGATTTCGAGTTCGAAAAATGGAGAAAAAGGCTCAATCAGACTTATTTTTGCCAATATTTCATCCAGCAGATTCATATGCACTCGGCAATGATCTGGTATTAAGTTAATATCTAGCAGATGGATTGTCTCCTAGAGAAGGTGAATTACTCGATTTTCCTCGCCCAAACTTAATTTTTGCAAGGTAGATGGCCTTTCCGAAAGTTCTGGTGTTATTCTCAATCGTCGGAGGTAACTGTGCAAAAGCACAACCTTAACTTCATTCACGAATCTAAAACCTCACAGATTTTTTTCATTGTCAAATGGCGACAATAAGATAAATGAACATTATTTTTATATTACTCAATTTTGAGATTTGACGCAAGCAATGATAAAAAAAACTGCTATTTTCAATCAATCTTTGGTGAAATCACGAAAATACAGGCTATAGACCAAACACTGCAAGAAATAACGGATGAATCGTGTCTTTAAACGCAAATAAAAGAAAGCACATTTCTCCAAAATGACTGAAATCAATTTAAAAAATGTGATTAGAAATAAAACTCATTTATCATAGGGAAAAATACTCATCAGAGTAAGAAAACTGTTGATTCAAATACTGAACGATGAAATTTTTAAGTGATGGAACTCGTATTTATCTTTAAAAAAATCGGTCTGAATTTATCCATCTTCAAAGACGATCTTCATTTAATAGAGGCTTGTTGTATAGTATGTATATCGAGTCAAACAAATTCCTGTGCTTATCGAAATAAACTTTAAAATCAGATTTTCTCGTCTGATCTACCACCAAGCTGAAAGTAGCTGTGTACGATTGCAAAATTAGAATTTTTAGTCGATATTAGTAGTTGTTTCTTGCCCGAGTAGTATATTTGGTGTTTTCAGCGGTCATATTGAAGAACGGATAAATTTTCACCTAAGGAGGAGAACTCCTCCTTCTGCTGTTCAGTGAAAAGGGTGAAAACTGGAAATACATAAGGCTTTAAATAACTCCAATGAGTGGCCAAGCCAGAATTTCTTCTTACAATATAACAATGCATAACAAACAGACAAGTGATGAGAATAAAGAAAAATATATATTAGGGGATTGTCAGTTGATCCAATACCAAGTTCTCCAAACTCTCTTAGAACTGTATGACAGACAGTCAGGAGAATTACCAATTAGATCTCGGGAGTGAAATGGCTAAGACCAAGTTTAAACGAAGAACTTTTCGTGCATTCAAATTCGCCGAACCTAATTCCTTCAGTTCAGTTCGTGATGAGATCAAAGTTCATTCGAATTAGTCAGAACTGGGTCGACGAAAAGATTACATTCGAGGGTCGACTTGAAAATTTCGACTGTGGGGCCGCCTCGATTCAAACGGGAAATTTTTCTGCTCGACTGGAATCTCAGCAGAATAAACAGTAGCTGATGACATAAAGAAAAACACTCATACTGGAAAAGAAATTTGAAAATTTTGGTTTTTCTTTTTAACGAACATCTGACAGGTTGCCTGTTTTGATTCGTTTCGTTTTTTTTTTTAATAAGAAACATGACATTAACAGATTACCATTAGTTGTGCTAGCCACTCCGCTTTTGTTTCGGTTCTAACCTCAAACAGTGAATTAAATGCATCAAAAACGAATCTTTTGTGGTTTCTTTGCCTAAAATAATGATCAGATCCAACGGCTGTCTTTGATAATTGTTTTAACAAGTTATGGCTTTCAAAACTTTTGTTGATCAAGGGAACCGATTGTTTAGATGCAAATGTCTTTATTCTGGATCAATAATAAAACGCGATGGGTTACGCGCGACAGAGAATGGCAAATGCCAAAAGAAAAGGCAGCCAAGGATGGAAAAGAACATTACATTAGCATAAAATTTGAAAGCCGGCCAAAAAGGCAGATTTTAGTGACAAAGAAACAATTAGTGCGGACAGTGCAGATGATACAAAGATTGTGTGTCTTTATGCAGTGGTGCTTCGTAATTCCCAAAGAGTAACTTAGTTATAAAAAAATCTTGGGTAACAGTTTTTGGCGAAAGACCTCACCCGACATTTTAGGACGGGATTCGAGCTTGTTTGGAATCCTGCAGTATCAAGATGTAAGTCGTGGCCTTAATTTACGCCGTTTTAATTTTAATTCGATAATCGTCTTTAATTTTGGCCAGTTAGCGGTTTAATTTGATCCCTATCTCCAAATCTTTCCTTGACGTCATTATTTGTTCGATTTAGAGACAAGACTGTCTCGTAGATTTGACGCCTCGAACATCGAAATAACGAGAAAACAGCTTAAGGCATGCTATTTGCCGGCGAATTTCGTCACAGCTCAATATTTTAAGGTGGCAAGATGTGGTTATTAAAATTGAACTCTTGATCTTCTCGAACCGACGAAGTCGTTCGTGAAAGTCTGCGCTCAAGGCATTGTGTTTTTATGGTAGGAGGTTGTTTGTGTTAATAGTTTTCCGTTAGGCGGTCTTTGTGTAGCCTCTTTTTTTATCCAGCAACTTCTGCACGGTTCTCTAGAGACTTAGCATAGGAGCAAGAAACCGGTTTTCATAAGACTTCTGTCAAAATGAGTTGAGTCAAAGCGATCGGCGCATTTTTGGAGTTACTGCGACGAACGCGCGCAGAACGACCAAAGTGGTAAACATCACGAGAGGCACCGATTTGTCCACGACGTTTATTTTAGTACCGTTACTAACACTTTAAGTTTTCCTATTTGGTAGACAACGTCGACAACTGAAGTGGTGTTCTTTGACCATTCTCTCCCAAAATATCGACAGATTGCAAACGGTGCTTAAATTTCGAGATGGTTTAATTCGATTCAACAATTTGCATCTGTCACAGAATGATCGAGAGAACAAACAACACCACGTGAAATTATGAAAGAATTCTAAACAGCTTATTTTTCACGCTTTTGCCCTAATCTTATTAATTGATTCGAATTCAACCCGAAGTGGTAACTGTTAAGAACTAATATAAAACTGTGAAATAGTGTAACTAACTTACCATAAATTGTAAACATTTGTATACGGCAAATGATCGTGAATTTGTCTGTGAATTGCTCTTGTGCATGCGTAGAAGAAAACCACGGTAATCTTTCAATGTTTTTAGTTTGAACACTCTCATATAACGCGCCTTGTTTCCTTCTTTTTTATTTTAAACAGCAAAGAAAGGCTTTTCGGCTACAGGAGAAATTTCAGAATGGAGAATCACGGCAATGGCACTGGAAATACAAACACAACTCCAACGGTGATAGAAAAAATGAACCTGACTGAGCTCGCCTTCATAACTGTGTTGTACTGCTTACTCGTCGTGACAATCATTACCGGAAATGGACTCATCCTGACTTCTTTTGCAATGAACCGGAAGTTAAGAACCGTGACCAATACGTTTATCGTCAGTTTGTCGTTGAGTGATATCCTTGTGGGTCTCGTGTCTATCCCCTGCTGGATATACATCTTTCTGAGTCAGTACACCGAGCGCCCTTACACCAACGTAGGATACCAATTCTACATCACGTCTGACATTTTTATCGGGAGCGCTTCCATTTTACAACTGACGTCCATCAGTATCGAACGCTGTCACGCAATCGTCAGGCCGTTACGTCACAGAACTCTTCCCATGAAAGTGTTCTACGCCATGATAGCAATTCCGTGGTTGTACGCCGCCATAATGGCGAGCTTGCAACCGGTGCAATTCAAGCGCTGGACAGAAGTGTACACACTTCTCATGACAACCACGTGCTTTTTCGTCCCATTTGTAATCATTCTCGTCGCGTACATCACCATCTACGTGTATGCGCGATCAAGGCCCATAAGTACGCTATCACGTCACCGTGTACCCAAGAAAGCCTACAACAACGAGATAAGGTTATCTGTCACGGTTGCCATGATAACCCTGCTGTTCATCATAGCGTGGATGCCACTGTTCGTTGTCAGTGTCTTAGCAACCTACCATCCACAAAAACTACCCTCCCAACTGGGGACGGATCGACTCTTAAAGTTTGTTAAGTTCTGTCACTACAGCAATAGTGCCATTAACCCTTTCGTGTACGCCTATAGGAATCGTGAGATGATAAACACATTTCGTTATCTTGGTTACAAGCTGCTCTGCAAGGAGCGCAGCTTCGATGTGCCTTTTCTGGCCACAGGAACGTCGTTTGTTCGATCTTACAACAGAAGTACGTGGCACCAGGGATCATCCAGGAATGGAAAACTTCCAGAAAAGAAACACAAAGAACAAAGCTTTATGATGATTTCGACAGTGTGAATATCACTGACTGCACCTGTACGAGAGAACGTCACTCACAGTTGACCCAGAGGCAGAAGCAAAACATAGTCAGTTCATTACACTGAGGCAAAATGCTAATAATAAATATGATAGCTTAAAGAACTGTAGACTAACAGCGACTTGTTAGCTGACTTTGTGAGGCGGTTAATAATTGAATCGGCTAAAGTAAGTGTGAATGGAAGGTAGATTGATTCATAGATAGATCGATTGTTTGATCAATTGACTGATTGACGTGAAGCAAATTGCAAGCCGAATTTGCCATGTATTTTCAACCAAGGACACCTTTCTGATCAAATATCGGCATTGCAGATCGCGCAAAGCTGCTGGGTATGGCTTGTGGAAAAAGTCTTCCTCAACATGAAAAACGAAAAGAAACTTATTTACTTAATGTTGCATTGATTTCGGCGTTTGTTAGAAATACTGGATGCAATGTCCAGCGCAAATTCGAGCAAAATAAACTCTGTGAGTTGGACAATTTTGATGAACTTGATAACCAAGAATCGGCCTGCAAGTGATAAAAAACCTTAGACTCCACCGATCAACGCCAAACTGAAAACTGTTTGCTTTTCTAAAAAATAATTTTTTTCAGGCAAGTGGCTTTACATTCAAGATGGCCGTGCATGACCGGATTTAGTACTCGTCTTCCTCTTAGCACTTAAATAAAATTCTCATTTTCCTTAATTTGATAAAGCGCAACCTATCAAGTATTGGGACATGAGAAATATCTGGCCAAATAGTGAGTCACTATTTTAATTTACTTTGATTTTATGTTTAACAGAAACCTTACTTTTCACCTGCAAGTCGCGTTAATCGTGTTAAGCAAAAATGATAGCGTAGCGGCATCCTGATTTGTTGGGTCGTTTGATTGCGGAAAAGCAATTAATGGAAAGCTCGAGCTGGGCCTGCAAATCGACACGAAAACTTTCTTTCGTTAGTTGTTTTCTTTCTTTTCCTAATTCCTTTCATATTCCATTAAATAATGGTTTTCAAAACCGTAAATACAGTTTTGGTGATTTTCTTTCTTAACGGTGTTGCAAACACCGAGCCGGTTCCGCTCAAATATACCTTAATCATATCAATTAGGGAAAACTTAACTACATTGATACGTTTCATTTACTGTTATTTCCTTGATTTAGGAAAAACCTGAATTTAATAATAAACCAGGAACTTCTTTCTAACTTATAAATCTGTTCAATCGTTATCAAACTGCCCAAACAGTATAGACACTGGATTAACACGTTTGTATTTTTTTTTTATTTTTTAATTTTCATGTTTGTTGCGTGCACGTTCTAACTCATAACAGGTTTACAGAGACGTCTAAATATGCATGTTATGTTTTTAAAATCAACGCAGCCTAACAAAAAAAAACTTTTTTGATCATCTTTCTCAGATTAACCCTTACTGCGATAACGAAGGGAGTAGCTTTTTTATTGTTTGATTTTTTTAAAATCAAGATGGTGCCTCCTACAAAGAGAGCATTGGATCTAAATTTTATGCAAAGTATGTCCAGCGAGGAACTGAATGTTTACCACGAAAGTACTCAAGTGGCTGACCTTAATTGATTTCAAAATAAACCTGCCATCATTTGTCAAATCTTCACTCACCTTCAGACAACCGGTGAATGCAATAGAGATGGTCAACGATTAAATTCTCTTCACTGAAAATATGACACTTCCTTTCAATCTTGTTTTAAGAATTTATTGTCTCATCATCTTTTATTGGAAATCGATCATTCACACCTGTAGGCGGTCTACAGGACAAATACAGATAAGGTCGTGAGAAATTCAATTTGAGTCATTTTTTCCAAGGCCAAAGTAAAGGCGTTCTTTAATCAAACTCGTTTATTTTTCTACCGAATTTCCTTTCAACTTCCTCTCTAATTTTTCCGATTGTTATCAGCCTTTTTCATGGAAATATCACTGAAATGCGTCGTATTTGCATTGGGGAAGCTTACATCATGCACCGCTTCGCGCGGCTGTCAATGATTAAGATCGGACACAACTAGAGACATTGACAAGCGCTAGGACTTCGTTTTCGTTTGGTGCCTCAGATCATATACCAGTTACCTAACGCGAGTAACACGGACGACAACAAGGTAAGCCTTCGATTTCCTTCTGTAATTTCTGCCATTAGCTAGAAATAGTCTCCGCTTAAAATCTTTTTGAGAAAATATCTTTTCGATACCAGCTGGGATTATAAAATTTGTTACCATCATGGTCTAAACACAAGCTGGTCTTAACATTTAGTCCAGACGGTGCAGAACACGACGTAAATCTGTGGAAAATTAAACATAAATTACGAAGAATTTTCATCGGCACACGAAGTCGACCGTGAGTCGACCTAAATGAGACGAAGTTAACTCTGAAACGACCTCTTCATGATTGAGTAACTGATGAAACAGAGAGCTTTTCGGAGCACGTCCCGTCAGCAGTTCCTTCCGTGCACTGAGCAATCTTTCCAGCACGCCCCTGTCATTACAGACCTTCACGAACTGATCTTTTTAAAATTTCTTCGTAATCTTCCCGATTTGAATTTTAAATATTTTGTTGAATGTCTGCCACATTTAGCACCTGTTGTTTGGTTTTGAGTGAAAATTGAACCCAGCTTTATTATCTAGAAGAAAAAAATATTGTAGTTCTGTTGTCGACTTCAAAACCCTGATTTCGTTGTAGATGTTGTTGCCTGAGGGTTAAATAACCCAAGGTGAGAAACAATTGAAGGGTTTGCTTATTATGAAAAATTTTTTAAATTTACAAGTCAGCTTTTCCAGATAGAAATCCTGTAATATTTGCTATTCAGGAAGGTTATTCAGAATATAATTTCCAGACAAAGAGGCTGCCAGCCGGGGCGTTACAATTACCCGTCAAGTATTTCCACTCATGACTGGATTCGCTAACTCTTGTACCGAAGCAAAAGCGAAAGAAGAGAACACCATCTAGATGCTCTTTTGACCATAAATCGTAATGAAGATTATCAACCTGACATAAATTTGCTCCTAGACAGCTGAAAGCTATTATAAATAGGTCATATTTTGCTGGAGGGGTTATTGTCTTTTACACGAAAACAAAGTTAAACTTTTGGTTGTGGGTAGATCCAATGAAAGGAGACAAAGCCATCGGCAATCACTAAAACAAAAATAGATAGAGCTTCAAATACATATTTATGTCCGGAGAAATACTCGTTATGTACCGAAAGTACTTCACTAAACTACTCTCAGTTAATGAGCATGAAAACCACTGCACATATGTAATGCTTAAAAGAGTTGAATACGTAAGGCAATTTAACACAAATTTTAATGGATTCCAGACATTAAAATATGATTTGTAAAAGAAGTCATGGCCAATTATCCTGCGAATAAGTTTTGGTGAATTGAATCTACTGGCTCTTGCTAAAAGCCAGCTGATTATAAAAAAAAATTATTTCTAGAATTTCATTTGTGATTAAATCTATTTTTGTCGTTTTTGCGCCGTCGGCACGAAGCAAAAGGAAAAATCTTTTAAGACAAACGTCAGGTTTTTCTGAGGGAAGCTTCCAACTAAACAAGGTTGTTCAGTTTTAAAATTTCGTGGTAATTATTACCCATCATGCACCGGCACCATGATAGGAACCTCACCGTGAGACAAACCTCATATATAAGCCTGGTTACTCAGCCTTCCTTAATTTCGCCTCGAAACAGCAAGAAACCATGAATACTTTTGTTATTTTCAGCATGTACTGTTAATTTTAATTATGAGAAACAAACTGAAATAGTTTCCGTTAATACGCAAATAAAAGGACTGAAACTACTGTGCCTGTTTCAAACTTGAATTTTCAAAAGAAGGTTTTATTCTCAAATGTTTACATTTGAAACGATAAAATAGCAGTGTAAATTTGGTGAAAATGCTCAAAGGAATGGCAGGGACAGGATAAATTTTAGGATCAGGAAAAAGGCATACGTTCTTTTGATGCTGTTGGAGCTGTTATTGCTGTTGCTCTCAAAAAAACTCATTCCAACTTCATCTTCGATTCATCTGGTGTTAGATCCTTCTATGAAATTATTTGTTCAATCTGCGTCTCTCCCTTGATGCTGTGGCTTTATTGTCTCTCAAAAGCGCAGTGACATTCAACCACAGTTAACTGCATGGAATAAACGAAAAACAAAACATGGAAATTGGAAGTAATTCAGACCTATCTGCTGATTCTTACATACTTAATACAAATGATGCCGATATTGTCTCGTTTGACACTGCTTACCTCGAAAAGTAGTCCTAAACTTAGTCGAGAAAACTCGTTTGAATTTTTTTTTCTAATCTCCACGCACACTTTAAATCAGTGTTGCGCTTTCGTGCTTTGAGTCATTTTACTACCATGAAATATTAAAGCACTTTCTGGCATACAGTGAATATTTCATGATGAAAAGGTTTTGTTGAATAAACGACCTCTGATTATGGTTAATCTAAACGATTTGTTACAGTAGAAGTAAGTGACAGTTTTGAATTCATAGCCGATGTGAACCTTTAGCTCTGATATCGGACATTACTCTGTCTTGATAAATGTTTTTTTTTAATTTAAATTTTTGTCTGTATGATATGAACCTTGACTAATGCAGAATAATAGAGTTTAAATATCAGAAATTCGAGTGTCCTTGGGAAGATTACTTTGATTTTTTTTGATAAATTGAATCTTGCATGAAAATTAGTTTCAAAATTTTACAAAATTGGTATCGTTCCTAAAATTTAAGACCACAATAATAAGATTGATGAAAGCCACCAGGTAGTGTAAAAAAAACCACGCTACAAAGCTTTTTTTATAAACCAGAATATTATTTGGTCTTATGAATCTTTCAAAATTTTTTAATGTTATTCATTTAGATAATCGTTGGTTAGCCTATTAGTTACGGAAATTTTTATCCATCTCGTAAATTATTTGAGAAAAATCTCTGAATCTGTTTTCTTCCAGCGATTCGTGTGGCAATCGGTTTCTAGAGAAAAGGTCAGTTTTGATTATAACGTGCGATGAAGAATGAGGAATTTGTCGCAGTTTCTGCTACGGAGTAAAAGCGAAAGTTAGTGATAATGTGAATTAATAATTGATAACTAGTGGAGTTATCGGTCTGCTTGTCATTGTGTTTGCGGTCAAGTTATATTACTGAGTCACAGCGTGGCACAGCTCAACGAAAACGTGATGGCTTAAAGATAAGGGAAACACGTGAATTCTGCTGTGTAACAAAAAAGACGCGAGTATTTTCTCAAACTTTCGCGGGGAGATGTATTGCAACCCAAAATAGGTAAGACCATTTATTGTGAAAATAACTGCCTTTATGATTGTTTGTTTTTACAATTTTTTAAAGATGGTTTATAATTTTATGCTGACTCGATAAGCTTTAACTTTGTGGTATGGTATCGAAGCGATGCAGAGAAGGTTGCGGAAAAGACAAAACTGCTACTCTTGGTAAAAGAAAGTATGATAAATGCAAACTACTCAGCCAGCAGATCTCTGAGTTCTAAAAATCCTTTCAGGAATTTCTGTAGCTGTTCATGTGATCGATAGAATTAAGGACGATTCACGATCTAGAATCGCACCAGTTTTTTCGTCATGACCATTTTCCGATTCATAGAGCGCAGGGTGAAATCAATTGCTCGATAATATCGTGCACAAGAAATCTTGAGTTAGCGTTGATGCACGGAAAACGCCGGCTTTTGCATAGTTTCTTAAATCTGTGGTATAAATTTACTTTGTTTATACGTAAGTAATCGGCATGTTTTAAAACTGCCAAAGATTAGATATACGAGTGACTGCGTCACACAGTCAAAGACTTCTATTTCTTCATTGAATCGCTGGCAAATTTTCATCTCCTGTGCAATCTGATTGATTATCTTTTTCTTCATGGATGCTATCAATATCCTTAATGAGGTGGAAAGTGACTAAACAG